TCTGAACTGTGGTCAAGGAAGAACAGAATACTGAGAAGACTGTAAAGGAAGACAGAAGGCAGGTTGAGGGAAATGTACGCATCATTTTTTTCCCCTCCACTTTCCCAGGAGAAAATTCACAGTGAAATTCCAGCATCAGGAGACTTGTTTATGACAACACAATGGCCTCTAAAGAAAAGCACTAAAATATTTATCAAAGGAAATATTTTTTCCCATAGATATTCTTTCCTACGTTGGTCATTGCAGCCAGACACCTGTCTCTAATTCTCAAAGCACTGCCACCGTTCAGTATTACCACGTGGGTTAATCTCCACACATGTGGGCTGAATCTGTGTTTTAAGAGACCAGGACCATCTGACACATATGAGGAAGTGACATGCGTTTTATACGAGGCTTAAATTCCTATGAAGGAATGGCTGGCTTTGTCCTTGATCTGTTCACCGAACTCTTTTCAATATTAATGTGCTATTTAAAAATGCATCATTTACCTCCAAAGTAGCTCGGTGGGCGGCATTAGAGCCCACGGGCAAGCTATGAGGCCAGGAGTGAAGCAGCTGATTGCTGTTTATCACACACTACTGCCGGCTCCCAAGGGTCAAAACTTCAAGTGCAAGTTGGCAGAGAAGAGGGGTTTCCATCTATTCCCTGGTGCTGAAACTTTTAAGATTAGTGTGACCTAAGCCACCTAATTCTTGGCAAGATACTAATATAATAATACTTATTTTTTTAAGGTCAAAACTTTGGATTTCCTTCATTAGCGCCATCCCCTGCGTCTCCAATTAGACTACACCTTCATGGCTTCTTTTCTAACCATCATAACTGTGTTTTCTAGCAGGTTCAAAGTACTCTTTTTGTTTCTACAGAGGCAACACACTGAAAGACACATTTCCAGTCGAATTTATGGACTGCTTCTATTCCCACCTTCATCCCGTGCTGCTAAAAAATATAGGATTAGACTAGCGCCAGACAGATGCTATAACTACTGTTGGAAAGAAATATAGATTTTAGTTGGGAAGCTATAGACAGCAAGATAGAACCATGAAAATGTGAGCTGAGTGGTTGAGCTTTAACTCAGCAGAAATAACTTGTTCTACTTAGTGTCTGTTATTCTCAAATGGTAAATCTTAGAGAAAACAGTGCTAGAGAAAGTGAAACCAGAGGTTTATTATGAAAATGAGCACAGAACTGAAGACATGTTACGAGTCCCATATAATTGCCTGACAAGGGCATAGCTAATCCAGTACAGGAGCAGGCTAAAGCCAGCAACCGGATTCAGCACAATTTGATCTGTTATCTTCCCCCAAATATTCTTGTACTGTTTTGTTTCGGGGTGTTTCCATCTCCCTCTGACATAAACAGTGCCCAGAAATCTTGTTGTTTTATTGAGTAGGGAGAAAGGAAAAACGTTTTGTTTATCATAGTACATGGTTATTCTTCCCTGTCTGTAGACTAAGCAGATGTTTTCTTCAAAAAGTAGGAAGATGGCTAAGCCTACATCAGAGCAAGGCTGTTCATTCATTCTTGTATTCATTTATTCACTGATAAAGCATTTATTGAGCCTTCACTACCGGGGCTGAGGTTATAAAATGAAATAGAGACTCAGTTCCTTAATCTGCCCCATTGCTTGTGTAAAAGCTCTGGTGGCTCACAACAGCCACATTATTTACTCCTCCCTGAACCCATGATTTTTCCATGTGACCTTGGAGTTGCCTCTCCCTCTCACTGGGCCCAGCCATGTGGCTTGTTTGGCTGAAATGATCATTGCAAATATGAGCAGCCAGAGGCTTGAGAAAGCTTGTATACTTGAGCTTGTTCATTTTTTTTAACTTAATTGAGGAATAATTGACAAATATTATATATGTACATATATGTACATATATAATTATATATACACAGATTATATATACACATATATGTATATATATGTATATATGTATAATATATAATATATAATTTATATATTATATAAAGATATTATATATGTGTGTGTGTATATATATATATATAAAGATATAATATCTTTAAAGTGGACAATGTAGGGGCATTTGACTCGGCATTACCCTTTTCATCTAATTTAGATATTATTTAGAAAGATTGAAAAAAATGTTGACAATGCCAAATTGGCAAATTTGAAACTACATTTTAACTAGATTTAAAAATAATGAATTTCCTGTTAAAAACATAAAGATGTATCCCAATTTCTCACCTATTCAGTATTTGTGATATTTTAACCTTTGGCTATTTACAAATTTTTCTTGATAATTCATTTGTCACTTTCAGGGCTTGAATAGCTACACTATTAGCTATTAAAAGAAAAGCAGTAAAAGTATAAAATGTAGAAAAAAGTAGAAAAAAAAGAAAGCCCAGGAGTTTCCAAAAAATACCCAGGTTCTCTTTCTGCCTAAGCCCCTTATTAGTATGGGCTACTATTGGCCTAGTCACCTCACCTCTCTGAGCCTTGGTTGTCTCCCCTGCCTGGCTCAGAGGTGAGGAATACACACACAAAGAGCTTAATACAATGTCTGGCAAATAGTAAACACTCAAAATTTAATAGCTATCTGACCTATCCACTCCCTGACTAATCATTAGTAGTGTCACATCCAAGGTGGGCTGGGGTGGGGAATCCTTGGCAAATTCTCAGAACCATTCCATTTAATATGTATGGAAGTGGACTCTTGGAAAAACCACATAAAAGCAAAGAAAGCAAAGTTGCAACCCTGGTATCTCCCACAGGACTTTATCTCCGTGTCAGAACGGGATGCCAGGAAGAGGCTTCATCGTGTGCTGAGATGCTCCAGGAAGGGTGTTGGAGGCATGAAGAGCTTCAGCATCTGCTCCACAGAAAATGGCTTATGTTTAAAAATAGATATCTGTGTGTGTGTGTTGTGTCTCGAAGCCAGCAGAAGATAGCTTCAGAGTCTTCTCCTGTGCCTTAGGCATTTGTACTCAGAAGTGTGGAGGAGGTCATGGGTATTACAAAGGCATCTGTTTAAGAAGTTATGGAGGGGGGTGCAATCTGGGAAGGCAACTTGGTCAGGACGAAGTTCAAAATTATGATGTGTAGGTGGAGAAATTCTAGCACGGATCTAAATCAGTTTTTCATCCTAACAGTTCTTTGGGATTTGTGGGTATGGGTTAACATTTGGCCACCTGGGCTGGGCCATAAAATTATATTCCAAAAATTGTACACAATTCCAAAAAAGTAATAGCACACAAATCTAAAATCCAAAACCTGGAGTTACTTCTGAAAACTGGTGTCTCAAAATCTTTCACTGTGAAACAAAAATGGAAGGAATTAATTAATACTTTTTTTTTTTTTTTGGTGGGAGGGGGGTAACAATTCAAGTTACTCCAGGGTACTTCATATTATTTACATGGAAGTAGAAATAGAAAGAGCCCCAACTCTTGGTGCCTATTGTTCATATCAAACTGCATGAGGGATGCTACCTTAAGGAATTAAAATAATCACTAAGAAGTGACAGAAAACATGCACTCACAATTATTTCTATAACTCGGCAACACATTGGACACTGTACTAGTTACCTAGGGCTACAATGACAGATTACCATAAAATGAGTGGTTAAAACATCAGAAGTTTATTGGTTCACAGTTTTAGAGGCCAAAAGTCCTATATCAGGTGGTCAGCAGTGGTATGTTCCCTCCAGAGGCTCTAAGGAAGAATCCTTCTTAGCATCTTCCTAGCTTCTAGTGGCTTCCAGGAATTCTTGGTTCCTCATCTTATAGTTGCATCAATCTGGTCTCTTCCCATGGCTGCCCTCCTTCTGTGTGCCTCTGGATCTGAGTGTCTTCTCCTCTTTTTATAAGGACAACAGTCATATTAAGATTTAGGACACACTCTAATCCAGCAGGGTCTCTTCTTAATGTAACTAATGACAGCTGCCAAGACTGTTTCTAAACAAGGTCACTATCTGAGGTTCTGGTAAACATGAGTTTTGGGGAACACTCTTCCCCCCCGTCCAGACACCAACATCAAGATAACATACGGCAGTCTTTCTGTCTTGCTTGGAGAAGTCAGTCAATATTCCTCAAGCGCAGGGCACTGTTTGCAGTATTAATAGGTTATACTGGAGAGCCAAGCACGTTGCTCTGGATACGAAACTAGCCTCTGGTTTGTTTTTCTGTTTTTGTTTTCTTTTTCCCTCCTCCTCCTTCCGCTTCTTTTGTAGACTGTACTGACATCATTCAACTTTGAATTTGATAGAAAGAAAACAAACAACAAACCCCAATATTTAGCCAGAGATATAGACACTTACTGTTTATCATGTCTCAAAATACCAGCCAAAGCAAAGTTTTGATGGAGAAGAACACATGTAATAGATACTTTTCCTCATTTTTTTCAATTCCAGTCATATTGTGATGTTTATCTTATTACCGAAGAATTTGCCAGATAATAGAGAAAAAAGAGATAGAGGAAAGATTGAACAAAGTTAAATTAAGCGATGAAAAAAATAATCTTCAAGTCAACATTTATACGCATGCACACACAAACACACACACACACACACACACACACACAATTTATCTGGCTGAGTTATTTGATAAAAATAATTTGTACTGAATGTGCCTGCTTCCTTCCCACCTGTGGTCCAGACTCAGTGGTCCTGAGTTCAGTTCTCAGCTCCACCACTCTATGCCTATGATTTATCAGCCTTTCTGTCTCTCTAAAATGCAGATAATTATATGGGTCCTATCTATCTTCCAAATTCATTGTGAAGATTAAATATGATAACGAAAATGAGAGGAATTTGAATTCTAAGAGAAAAATGTTCTTATGACTGCCAAAATTATTATTCGATCCACTTGAAAACTTAATAGATATTCTTGGCAAAGCCTAAGATTTATTGTCTCCTCCAGCCTTGTAACAGTGGCTCCCATTTATGGAGCAGTTGCTAGAAAACACCATGTGAGTGCTTTATATAAATTATTCCTAATTCTCACAGTGACTCTGCAAAATCAACTTTATCTCCCCTATTTTACAGAGACGTTATTGAGGAGGAAAATGACTCCGTGAGCTCTACCTGGTCAACTCCAACTTGAGCCTGAAAGTTACACAATTTCCAAGTGTCAGGCCAGGACTCTCTGCCAAAGACAAGTTCGTTTCCCTTCCTCTCCCCTCCACTAAGATTCTCCTGGGATTTTTTCATACACACTCGTCTGCATTGCCTTCTCTCTCCTCCATACCAAGGGTATTGAGTAAATTAGTCATTTGGTTTAAAAAAAATAAGTCAACCTCAACCATTATTAGATGGCACTTGGGCTTAATCAAAAGAAATGTTTGAGAGAATTTTTCGGTTTTTATCTGCTTATTAGTGAGCACTGAGTTTCTGTGCAGATGGAATTAAAATGAACCAACAGTGTTCTCTACACAGTCTTGTGAATCTAAGTACAACAATTTTCCTGTTTAGTCTTCGGCTGAGTGCTGGGGCTCAGTGATGGCAATCGAGGGTTTTCCACTTGCTCCTCTGGTCCGGTTCAGCTGAGACCCAGACCACTCAGGGACAACGGGGGCCTGCCAAGCTCATCTGCCCCCTCCACCGCTGGCAGTGGAGTGCGCTGACGTGAGGCTGTACCGGACATGGAGTTCAGGAAGATAGCACTGATTCCTAATGAGTTTTTAGCCTCTCCTTTCAAATTTTCTGTTTTGCTAATGCTCTACAATGTATCTAATTTATTAGTTCAGTTGTAGATGTACCGGAAGTGTGTGCTCAAAAAATCTTCACTGATTTGGGATAAGACTCACAAAACTGTTCAGAAACCACTGCCCCAGAGCAGGAGAGGCATTTAGCCCCAACACTGGCTTGTATCTGAGTCTGTAGGACCCCTGGTATGACCTGTTTTCTTTATAACCTCTGCGACAGTAACAGTTCTTTGGGGGAAGTCGGATAATGACACTAACACTTCATTTTTTTCTTCCTTCTGATCGTGTGTTACGTTTTTACCCACAAAAATGAATTAATGTGTTTGTCCCAAACACCCCATTCTTCATGGCCTCGCTCTGGCAGTCCCGGGACAAAGGCGACGTATCTAAATGGGAGGGAGAGGTGATGACAATCAGGTAGGAGCTCGGCTTCATCTGGCCTTTTTCACAGAGCAAGCAGCACCCCTAGCACAGAATCACAGACGCTCGGAGCTGGAGGAAAACCAGATAACACCGAAAAATTCACTCCAGCAATTATTTCTGATTAAGCCTATTTGGCATCTAATAATGATGGAGATGAATGCATTTAAAGCAAATGACTAATTTTTAATGCTCACTTTTCCAGTGAGTGACCGTTGGGACTCCTCGGGTGACCCTCAGTCACCTTGGATTCACCTTAATTTCCTAAACAGGCATGCAGATTCCGTTCATTATGCAGGAAGCTCTTTTTGCCGCGGTGAGCATTGTCTCACCTCCTCTTGACTTCTGTTAATCTGACAGCCACACAGTCCCGTCTTGGGGAATACTGCAAAGCATCTCCAATTCAATAGCATTTCTGTGGTCGAGGGGTTTTATGTAATTACAGAAGTTCTGTAGTTGATTTGAATGTTATATCCCTGTTGTGGAATTATGTTTGGACTTCATCCTAAAGGACCAGGAAGGGCTTGTGTTTGTTTTGTTTGAACATTTCTTATCACAGAACTATGCTGGAGACAAACCCCAATGACACAAACACTCAAAAGCCACCTTCAGATGTAATATTGATTTATAAAACAACAGTGCACAGTTGCCAGGCTCCACTCTTGAATGCAGAGGGTCTTCAATTCCCAACAAATGACTGGCATTTCTACCAATTTACAAATTAGAGTTTCCTCTGACTATCTCACAGTTCTTAATATTCCAGTCACCTTCCTCTTCAGCCTTCCCTCTTGAAATATGTGCGTGGGGAGGAGGGGGCAGCGAGAAAGTAGAGCATTTGTAAAATTGGAGTTAAAAAAATCTAGATCAACTTTTATCCTTAGGCAAATTATGCACAGAGTTAAATTAAACCACTATATGTACTTGTAGATTGAAGAATCAGAGGTGGAGGAGGGGTCAGAGACACTGAGATCAAAGTTTCTGTTCTTTGAACAAAATCCCTTTGAAAAGCCCCCATGCCACCTATTCTGCTTGTTAATGTTTTGACTGGGAGTGTCTAGCGGTGTCAGCAGCAGCGGCATATTTTTAATACCATAGTCTTAAAATTTTCTGTATGCAACTAGCTCTACTTAGCAAAGCACCAGATCCTTTGCCAGCTCTGTTATAGGTCTCTTAGGGGAATATTTTTGTTAATTGCAAATATTTGATTGACAAACATAGGATGCAATTAGCAGTCAGGCACAGTAGGAATGTGCAGTGAACTGGATCCCTGAACCAACGGATCTCAACTCTCTCAGCTTGATCTAAAATCGACTAGAGCATTTCAACCATATGTTTGCCTCAAACTTCCTCTTTCCCGTGAACGCTGTTATTTCCCCAAACTCGCTTCTTTTCACATTGGTTCACCAAGGGAGCTAATTCCTCTCTGATCAAGCCAAATAAAGAAAGAAAATTCTTCACAAGTTTCAGTCTGGTGGGGCTCTTTGACCATGGCGGCAAAATTAATGTGGACAAGATTATACATGCCAGTATCCCTTTCCAAAGCCCTGGGTGAAAAAAGAATCTGACCTCTTTTGAATTCAACCCCCCCCCACCCCCAAAGCTATTTAAAACAACTTGGCACTATCTGATTATCTTTATCAATTACATTGTGCTGCTTTCTATCTACAGCAAGATGAGTCCTTTCGTTGTTTTAGTGCAATACATAAAGTTCTCTTTTTAAAACAGACCAGTCATTATTAAAGGTACTCCTTATGCCACAAATCAGTTGGAGGTGCTGGAAAGTCTTACAATATCAGATATTCTGTACCCCCTCCTCCTCAGGGAATTAATTAAAACTCACTTAAAACTTACAGAATTCGGGGGGAAGGAGAACCTCAAAGCCTTAAATGCTGGCTTGAAAAGTCTTAAGAAAATTTAAGCTGTTTTCCTACCTCTGTGATGTACAACACAGAAAGGTGAAAACCTGAAACAGTAATCTTGTGGAACCAGGTTCATAGCATTGAAAGGCCAGTTGTCAATTTCTTTTTCCTGACTGATGCCATTCACGTGTATTTGGGGGGAGAGATATACAACATGAGCCGCTCTCTCTAAATGATAAGCAAATAGATATCAACATTGTGGATAAAGAGATAAGAAACCTCTCAAGGCAGTGGGAACAGCATACTGCATGCTTAGGGACACCCTGCAAGTACGTGGCAAATGATGTAGGGCCTTCAAGGAAGATGGGGAGCCTGAAACCCAGGGAGATTTTAAATTAGTTCAAGGACACACTGGAAGTGCTCGGCGATATGGAAATATAGGGCAGGAATCCTGACATGCAGCCCATGAAACCAGAATGCTTGTCAAGTCTGTCAATTATAATGTGCCACACTCCAAATAAAGCTTTAAAAACGGGCATCTGAAGGCTGCAAGGCGCCACTGTGGTTCATCTTGACCATCCTCCTTCCTCTAGAAAAGCTGCGATTAATTTTTTAAAAGGAGTGGTCTGCTCCAAACATACAAATAAATGGCATTCTCTGTGTTTGGAATATAAATAAAACCGTGGAAGAGCAAAGTAAGAATCTTTGACAAATAAAAAGGCAATCTCACCTTCTCTTGCTCTTCTCTTTTTCCCCTGTCTTGGAATGATCGCCCCAAGCTCCATGACTGTGAAAATGTAGGGGACAGATCTGGCTCACCTTGAGAGCACTGACCCAGCAGGCTCATGGGGTGTGTGCGTGTCCTGTGACTTTTGCCATTAGTCAAGACCCTGTCTCACCTGATCACAAGAGCTGCAGTCTCCTAGTTCATACAAACTCACCATTTGGCTAGTGGTCCTGGATCCTCAGATTCAGACAAACTTAGAGGAAGAAGGGAGCAGGAAGGAAATCTACCCATTCAACAGATGAGGCATCAGAGGCTCAGAGAACTGGGGCCTGCTTTGAATAACTGGAAGAGACTGCCAAAGTCTACTTCTTCATGGACTGATGGCTTTCGCCCAATGATCCAGGAAAAGTAGGGGAAAAGGAGCAATCAATCCGAAGAAGAAGAAATCAAAGCAGCTACAGAGGTGGATGTAGCTGATTAGGTGACAGCTGTCTGAGATGAATATTTTGTAAGAAGGGGAGGGTGGCTGGTAAGGGAGAGGAGTGTGTGCTTTTCAGATTAGAACAGGATTACTCCTCAGGCACTGGGTCTATAATAGAAGCCTTCTGATAGAAAAGTAAATAATGCATCTGGTAGGATTGGTACATTAAGGTATGTATCACCACTGCACTGTCTTCAGAGAAGACCACTTGTCCTCAGATAATCAAGTTTCTTGTCAGGCTTTCCTCAGTTTGCAGTTTGTTTGCTAATGCTCTGGTCTCCACAGGAGTTCACATGTCAGATTTTAAAGGCTTTGCATGTAGGGACCCTTCTCTTCCTTAACCGCCTCAGCAGGGGCTCTCTGCCACTCTACCAGCGCGTCTCGAACCTAAGTGGGCAACAGAATCACCTTCAAGGCCTGTTAAAGTGCAGACTGCTGGGCCTCATCCCTGGACCTTCTCATTCTGCAGGGTTGCCGTGGAGCCCAGGAAGCTGCATTCCCAACAAGTTCACAGACGCTGCTGCTAATGCTGACCCAGGGACCACACTTCGAGAACTACTGCTTTTTATACAGAAGCGATGTTCAGTGTATGTTACTGGCTAAAAAAATTCTTGACTTCAGCTGTAGAGCAGTAGATAATAAGAGTCAGAGAATGAAATGGTGCATGGCATATACTAGCTGCTCAATAAATATTTTTGATTGATTGAACTGAGGCTCCATTTCACCCTCTCTTTACTTATATAGGCCAAAACCACAATTTATGGAGCTGAACAGGTTTCAAAACATACCCCAGGCTGGATTCAAATCATGGCATGGTCCAGCTTTGTAAAATCAGGTAGTTTTTCCATTGTCTAACATTTCAAAATCTTAGCTTCCTCAATTATGAAATCGGTGTAAATGGGGGATATTCTGAGGATTAAGTAAAACAACTATTAGTACAAGTCTTCACAGCAAAGTGCCTGAGTGCAAAAATACTCAGTGTTTAAATATAATGATTGGTGAAAATAAGTTTTCTGTAAGTAACAGAGATGAATAGAGGGTATTCTTTAAAAGAAGAAATGCATCTTAAATCATGCGTCATGATCTAATTCTCTAAATACAGAAAATCTGCATGTAGCCTGTATACTGAAGTGATTCCAATGTGAAAAAAAGCATAGATATCCTCCGCACTAAAAAATATTTTCATTAGAACAGTTGATGCAATTAATCAGTTTGTTTTAATTTACGAGGAATCACTAAATGGTTTCATGGGTCGGCACATACCAAACACATAATGCAAAACTTTAAAAGCCAGTGTACTAAGTGGGCCAGATGCTCATCAGCTGCTTAGAAGCCTATACACCTGTGGTTTGGTATTAAAATGTGAATAATATTCAATGTCCTTTGTTAGTTTTCTTGCAGACATATATTTTAAAAGTTTCAAAGAACAAGGTCTAAAAAGAATACATCAGAACAGGTCATGGTTAGCTTTTACATTTGTTTCTATTCTTTGAGTCATAGATTTACACTTTTGTTCTTTATATAAATAAGAAAAAGTTATTTTTCTAAATGAGTTCCCATCATTGAATGAAATTGAAAGAATAAGTAAATCATGAAATTCCATATAAAAATATATTATTTATGTATTTATTTTAATTTAACTTACATAAAAACTTATGTGTTCTTACTATGTTCTGGGCATTGTATTAAGTGCTTTACAAATATGAACTCATTGAATCCTCAAAATAACCATATGGGATGGATATAATTAACATCACCTCCATTTAACAGTTAAGTGCAGCACAAGTAAATTAATAAAATTGCTGAAAGTCACATAGCTAGTAAATGGTGTAGCAAGGATTCGAGCTGGTTCTGAGTCCCTGCGCACTGTGCCCTCCCTTCTAGTCAGCCACCAAATGATCCACACGGGGCTGGATGATGCAAGGCCTAAGTGACCCTGCCTTCACAGAATGTACAACCTCTGAGATTAAGAATGCTACAAGAATTCATTGCGTGCCAAGTGCCAATGTGTGCGGTGTATAGACAGAGGCCCCAGACTGGGGAGCTGCAGATCAAATATGGCTGTGGACATGTTTCATTTGGCTCATAATGATATTTTGAAATTTTTGAGTTACTGCTTTAAAAAGGAAAAGTTCTTATAATATTCCAGATTTCCAGCTGTGAAAAACTCTGAGTTTTAGAAATGTCGTGCCCCAGTGTCTACATGAAACAATCCGATGGCACTAAATCCTCTTCTATTTGCTCCAGTCCCTGGCAGACACTCACACAAGACATTCACACATATGCATGTCAATTTACGGTATTCGCTTAGCCTCGGAGTTGTCATATACAGTATATGTCCTATAAAAGGGATGTGCGGAACTGTGGGAAAATTTGTTGCCTAGAGTAAAGGTTATTTACACTGAACTTCAAAAGGGGAGGAGGACAGGTGGATTTAACAATACTTGAGTGAACCGTTCAATTCCTTCTGATATCCTAGGCTGTATCCATCCAAAATATCTTCTAAATTCAATCAAATATTGCATCAGCATTACAGTTTTCCCTTACTCATTTTTTTTTAAATGTTTTATTTATTTCTAGGAGAGAGAGAGAGAGACAGCGTGAGCAGGGGAGGGTCAGAGAGGGAGGGAGTCACAGACTGAAAGAGGCTCCAGGCTCTGAGCTGGCAGTCAGCCCAGAGCCCGACGCGGGGCTCGAACCCACGAACCGCGAGATCATGACCTAAGCGAAAGTTGGACGCTTAGCCGACTAAGCCACCCAGGCGCCCCATTCCCTTACTCATTTTTGTGGTGACTACTATTTGGCTAGAGTCAAAATATTCTTGCCTGCATAGTGAATATTCTTTATTCAAGTACTGTGCATCTTACTTCTCTGCACTGGCAATAAAGCTCCCTCTATCCATAGACAGAGACATGTTTGTTCCAATCAATGCTATGTTTCTAGAACTAACACTGTGCCTGGAATGTTAGAAGAACTCGATAATATGAGAGGGAGGGAGAGGGAGAAAGAAAGAGAGAGGAGGGAAGGAAGGAAGGAAGGAAGGAAGGGAGGGAGGGAGAAACCAGAGCATCTGGTGATCAATTTCCCTGAGAGCTTTCTCCCTTGCTTCTAAGCATGAGTAATAGCTGCTGACCACAGGCAAGAATAGTACAAGAACTTAGTGGGAATTCTAAAGCTGTACAAGCTTTTTCCATGTTCAGTAAAGGTCACATTTGAAACTTGTTTTAAGAATCAGAAAGAGCCACAATTTCTCAGGGTGTGGCCCCCAGAATGGCTACATGGAAATGAAGCACTTGCTGAAAATGCCGGGTCCCCTGCCCCGCCTCAGGTCTAATGGCACACAGAAAACGTCATTTCTGCATGACGTGGAATTCCTTTACACA